GCGCTTCCTGTTGTCTCCTGGGGTCTCCTGTGGTTTCCTGAGGCCTTCTGGAGCTTCCTGGGGCCTCCTGGAGCCTCTTGGGACATCCTGTGGCCTCTTGAGTCTTTTTGTGGCCTCCTGATGCCTCCTGGGACCTCATGTGGTCTCCTGGGGCCTCCTGGAGCCTGTTGGAGCCTCCTGTGGCATCCTGAGAAGAATCTGCGCCCACGAGCCTGGCCACCAAAACAAGCAAACCGATCGAGACATCCTCAAATTCTGGCCCACCTGGGGGTGAAAATGAGCGCCTCGCTCGAGACCTCATCCAAATCTGCTCCGAAAACGAAGGATGCTGGCACAAAAAAACAGGCAAACCGCACGAGACATCCCCACAAAATCCCGCGAAAGGGGCCGAGTGCAATACCCCCCGCCGCCCCCCTTAGGAACGTGAAAATGAGCGCCTCGCTCGAGACATCCTCCAAATCTGCTCCGAAAGCGAAACATGTTGGGACAGAAAACAGGCAAACCGCACGAGACATCCCCAAAAAAATCCCGCGAACGGGACCGAGTATGATACCCCCCCGCCGCTCCCCTTAGGAACGTGAAAATGAGCGCCTCGCTCAAGACATCCTCCAAATCTGATCCGAAAGCGAAGGATGTTGGGACAGAAAACAGGCAAACCGCTCGAGACATCCCCACAAAATCCCGCGAACGGGACCCCGTGCAATACCCCCCCGCCGCTCCCCTTAGAGTGCTGAGACGAGCGAATCGCCTGAGACATCCTCAACATCAGTGTGTGTGTGTGAGTCATCCGATGAGTGGACCTGAGTGAGTGTAGTGAATGTATGAGTACAAGTACGAGTGAGTCTGAGTGATGAGTGAGTCTGAGTGATGAGTGAGTCTGAGTGATGTGTGAGTCTGAGTGATGAGTGATGAGTCTGAGTCATGACTGAGTCCGAGTGATGAGTGAGTCTGAGTGATGAGTGAGTCTGAGTGATGAGTGGGTCTGAGTGATGAGTGAGTCTGAGTGATGAGTGAGTCTGAGTGATGAGTGAGTCTGCGTGATGAGTGAGTCTGAGTGGGTCTGAGTGAGAGGAGGTGAGGGTGTTCCTGTTCTCCTGTGTTCCTCCAGCGCGGTCTGCCAATAACAAGAAACCCATTCTTAGGATATGGGGAATAATCACTCACTGCGTGGAGCTCCCCATAGGTGCATCCTTTTTAAAAAGGTAATATTGTATCTGGGATCTTTTAATGAGCGTCCAGCCATATGAGCCGTATGTGCTTCTCATGTTGTAGGAACACAAGCTCTGCGCCAGCAACACCTAGTCACTCCTCCTTGACCGCCGTACGCAATGGGGAGAGCCACTCGGGGCACAACGCAAAAGCAGAAAACAGGCAAACCGCTTGAGACATCCCCACAACACGGCCGCGAACGGGACCGTGACATACCCCTCGGCGGCTCCCCTTAGGTAGCTGAAACCAGCGCGACGCCTGAGACATCCTCACAATCTGCTCTCCAAGCGAAGGATGTTCAGACAGAAAACAAGCAAACCGCTTGAGACATCCCCACAAGACGGCCGCGAACGGGACCGTGCAATACCCCTCGGCGGCTCTCCTTAGGTAGCTGAAACCAGCGCCCCGCCTGAGACATCCTCACAATCTGCTCTCAAAGCGAAGGATGTTGAGACAGAGAACAGGCAAACCGCTTGATACATCCCCACAAAACAGCCGCGAAAGGGACCGTGCAATACCCCTCGGCGGCTCCCCGTAGGGGTGCTGAAACCAGCGCCCCGCCTGAGACATCATTACAATCTGCTCTCCAAGCGAAGGATGTTGAGACAAAGAACAGGCAAACCGCTTGAGACATCCCCACAAACCGGCCGCGAACGGGACCGTGCAATACCCCTCGGCGGCTCCCCTTAGGGGTGCTGAAACCAGCGCCGCGCCTGAGACATCCTCACAATCTGCTGCGTGTCGAATAAGTTAGACAATGAGAAGGTCTGAGTATGAGTAAGTCTGGGTATGAGTGAGTCTCAGCATGAGTAAATCTGAGTATGAGTAGGTCTGAATATGAGTAGGTCTGCGTATGAGCCAGTTAATATGATCAGGTCTGAGTATGAGTAAGTCTGTGTATAAGTAAGCCTGTGTATGAGTAAGTCTAGGTATGAGGAGGAGAAGGAGGAGGAGTAGGAGGCGTCCAAGTAATAACAAGAACCCCACCTTAGGATATGGGGAACAAGAACCCCACCTGAGGATGCAGGGGAACAAGAACCCCATCTTAGGATATGGGGGAGAAGAAGGGCAGCGCGCTGCAGGTGGCGTACAAGGCCCGGCTTCCGGCGGCGCCGTGGGCGCAGGGCACGGCATCTTCGGCACCGTGGGCGAGGGCGAGCGCGACGGGTGCGAGTGGCCCAAACCCCCGGGTCGCGCTCACCGCGCAGACGGACAAGCTCGGGGCGCTGATGGAGCGGCACGCGCTGGACCTGCCGTTCGGCGCCCGGCGGAGGGCGGAGGGCGGCAGTGCAGCAAGCCGGACGCACCTACCAGAAGGAGAAGCCCGACGGGCCACGTGAGTGGGCAGGAGGACCTGGGGCCGTATCCCCAGGACAGCGTCGGTGGCTACTCCCAGGGCACGGGCACGGTGAAGTCGGCGGGCAAGAAGACGAAGAAGAAGAGGATGAAGAAGAAGATGAAGAAAAAGAAGAAGAAGAAGAATAAAAAGAATAAAAAAAAAGACCGACTCGGTCTCGGAGGCGGCGGAGCTGGACCAGCGTGCGGAGATCGTGCAGCTGCTGACGAAGCTGCATGCTCCCGGCATGCTGGAGGCGCTTGCGGCGAGGGTCGTCGGCGAGAAGGGCGAGGAGGCCGTCGGCCTCGTTGCGAAGGCAGTGCAGGCCTTCGGGGGCAAGGGCCAGCTCTCGCAGGACGAGTTCAAGTCCAACTTGACGGACCAGGGCTCCAGGGACCCCGCGGGCTGAGGGGAGGAGCGAGGAGAAGGTGGCCTCGTGCTGGGAGGGGGCGGTCCTTCCTCGGTGCCGCCCCTGGGTACGGCCTCCCCACGTGTCGGGGGAGGCGGGTATCCAGGGGGCGCTTTTCGGCGAGGTCTGCGGTTCTTGCAGGCGCCAGGGGGGGACCGCCCTCCCTTCGCAGGAAGCGAGGCTTGTCGGAGAAGTTCCTGATTCACCTGATCCACCTCCTCCTCCTCCTCCTCCTCCTCCTCCTCCTCCTCCTCCTCCGAACCCTCCGCTCACACTGCCCCGCCCTCCCCGTCATCCGCCCACTCCTGCTCCTCCTCCCTCCTCACTCCTCCTCCTCCTCCTCCTCCTCCTCCCCCTCCTCATCCTCCCCTCCTCCTCCTCCTCCTCCTCCTTCCTCCTCCTCCTCCTCCTCATCCTCCTCCCTCCTCCGCCTCCTCCTCCTCCTACTCCTCCCCCTCCTCATCCTCCTCCGCTTACCCCCCCTACCCTCCTCCACCTTTTCCTTGCGTCCCCCTCCTCCCTCCTCCTCCCTCCTCCTTCCTCCTCCCCCCTCCTCCTCCGAAAGCCCTTGCTAATCCAGATGCTCCTTCTCCATTATCCAAACCCCCGACGTAATGAGTTTTTCATGGCGCCGACCCCAGCGGTCTCGACCCATTCCGTGGGACCCGCTTTTCAGACTGAGTCGTGTTGTTGACGGCCCCGCGGCCCGGTAAAGGCCCCCAGAGGCCGAGGAGAACAAAAGGAATCCGTCGTGATTTGTTCATGACTCGAGGGGGTCTGGGTCCTCACGATGAGGGGCATCGATAGAGGGGGCTGGCATGGGGGGGGATGCATCGACCTGCAATCGGCGATGCATCACCGACAGATCGGCGATAGGCCCCCAATATCGAAACCGCACCTTCCTGGGCGGGGAGGGGCCATCAGACCTCTATCGGCGATCAGTGGGCGATGGGGGGTCGATGCATCCCCTACTGTGCCTATCCCCCCCTATCGCTGCCCCCGATCTGGGTCCGCAAGCCCAGAGATCCGATGTCATTTTTACCATACGCGGTCCCCGGAAGCCTCGATCCATTCCTCAGAACCGGTTCTTCATCCCGAGTCGTTTTTTGACGGCCCCGAGGCCCGGCGAGGGTCCCAAGGGGCCGAAGTTTGCGAAAAACCTCCGTCGTGATTTTTCAACACGTTGGACCTCTGGGAGACCACCTGGGGAGCCCGAAGCCTCCCGCCGCCCCCCCCGGGAGGACCGGCGAGGGCGCGGCCGCCAGGGGCGGCGACGCCGCCGGGCCGACGGCGGGAGACCTGGCAAGGGGCAGGAGGAGGGGGAGGGGGAGGGGGAGGGGAGGAGGAGGAGGCGGAGGGATGAGGAGGAGGAGGAGGAGGGGAGGAGAGGGGAGGAGTGGAGAGGAGAGGAGGAGGAGGAGGGAGGAGGAGGAAGGAGAGGGGGAAGGAAAAGGAGGAAGGAGGAAGAGGAGGAGGAGGATGAGGAGGGGAGGAGGAGGAGGAGGGGAGAGGAGGGGGGAGGGGGGGGAGGAGGAGGAGGAGGAGGAGGAGGAGGAGGAGGAGGAGGAGGAGGAGGAGGAGGAGGAGGGGGGGAAGGGGAGGAGGAGGAGGAGGAGGAGGAGGAGGAGGAGAGGCGGGAAGAAACAGGGAAGGAGGTGTGGGCGGCGCGCAGAGGGTTGTGCCCCACAGTCGTTGCGAGAAGCTGCCGCCACGCGGGTCCTGGACTTTGCCGTCGCTTGGACGTCCGTTCCCCGTGCATTTTTCGGTTTCGCGCTTATGTTTCCCATGATGGCCCAAGATGTTCCTCGATGGTCCTCGCCCAGGAAAACGCACACGCCCGAGCGATGCCAAGCTCGACCAACAGGCCCCTGTCAGCGCAAACCCATGTCAACCAGTGCCCTTTGGCGGCGCCCACCAGGGGGTGGGGGGAGAGGGGAAGGCGCCTTAGAAGCAGGCTGCTTCTTAGAAGGCGCCGGCCCCACATCTGTAGACAACGCCCGCGCCTTCTCAAGAGCAGGGGTGTTTCTAAGAAGCCTTCTCCCCTCCCCCCAGCCCTGAGACTTTTACCAGCGAGCGCAGCGCGATCGAATGCTCAGCTGAAAAATCTTGGATTCCAAAATGAACTGTCACATCTCTCAGAATGTTCAAAAAACCGAGCCCAAGTCATCACATTGTGCATCTTGGCCCGATACCCCCAAACTAGCTGCACCCTGCCGCGGAATTCCTCTAGTTCTGGTCAGACCAAGAGCTTTGCGAGGTATTCAACCGACCCAAAGTCACCAAAACTTCCGTCGAGATTTTTCGAGCCAACTAGCCCGCTGGCGCTGCGGAATTACTCGTGCCGTTTCGTTACTGGGGGGCTGTACACGTCATTGCTCTTTAGCTCTGGCCGCTTCGCTACTGGGGGAGCTCTACAAGTCATGGGGAAGCTCTAGACCAGAGGCCCCACGGCGAGGGGCTGGGCAAGCAGGCAAAAAAGCGAGCGCAGCACCCTAAGGGGCCAAGTGCGCGCGGGGGTAGCACCGCGGGTGCACGGGGGGGCGGAGGAGGCACCGAACAGGTGCAACAGCGCGGCGGGGAGCTGGCGGCCCCGCAGGGAGGGGCCACCAGGGGCCACCAGGCGGAGCGGAGGGGCGGAGAGAGGAGGGAAAGCGCGGGCGGCGGCCAGTGGCGACCGCGGCCAGGCGCGCAGAAGGCCGGCGGTGCAGAAGGGCGGCGACCCAGAGGCGGCCCAGCCGGAAGGGGGGTAGCGCCATGCAGGCGCACAGGCGCAAGTGAACAATCGCACCCCCGGCGGGGCGCGCAGCGCCCAGGTGGGAGTCGGCGAGGGGCGCGCGTAAGGCTGCTCAGAACTGGACCACGAGAGGGGACGGCAGGTGCCCGTCGGGCCCCGGGCAAGCCGCTACCAGCGTCGACCGACCAAGTGGCGAGTCGGCGGCGTCGAGTCGGCGGCGGCGTCAACGCAAGCGTCGGCGGAATCGCCAGCGTCGGCGTCGGCGCGGGCGTCGGCGTCGGGCACGCGCGGAAGACGTCGGGCTCCAGCGTAGCCCCTCGAGTCTCGCTGAGCAGCGCCAGAGCCCGCTGCCACTCGTCGTCCTTTCGCACGCGCTGATCCCAGCGTTGCGCTGCTGGCGTCGGGCTCCAGCTCCGCCTTCCGCGCCTTGCTGAGTAGCGCCGGAGCCCGCTGCTACTCGCAGTCCGCGCACGCACCCGAGTTGTGCTGATGACGTCGGGCTCCAGCTTCGCCTCCTGCATCTCCATGAGGGGCCAGAGCCTGCTGCCACTGCTCGCCCGTCTCGCAAGCACTGATCCCGACGCTGTAGCTGAAGACATCGGGCTCCAGACTCGCCTCCCACATTATCCCTGAGCAGTGCCAGAGCCCGCTGCCACTGCTCGCCCTTCTCGCACGCGCTGATCCCAGCGCTGTGACTGTCGGCATCGGGCTCCACCTTCGCCCCCCACATCCCGCCACGCAGCGCCACAGCCAGCTGCCAATGCCCGCCTTTCTCGCACGCGCTGGCCCCGGCGTGGTAGGTGACGACGTTGGGCCCCAGCTTCACCTGCCGCATATTGCTCGGCAGCGCCCGCGCGCGCAGCCACTCAGCGCCCTCCGCGCACGCGCTGATCCCAGCGCGGTAGCTAATTGCGCACGGCTCCAAATAGCTGTTCCAAATCTCGCCGAGCAGCGACAACGCCTGCCGCCTCAGACCACGCCCCCCACAGGCGACGATCTCAGCGTTGTAGCTGATGACGCTCGGGTCAAGCTTCACATCCCGCATCTCGCCGAGAAGCTCCAGGGCCCGCTGCCACTGCTCGCACTTCTCGCAAGCGCCGATCCCCGCGTTGTAGCTGGAGAAGTTGGGCTCCAGCCTCAACTCCCACAGCTCGCACGGCTGTGCCCACGCCACTGCAACTGGTCGCCCTTCTCCACAAGCTAATCCCAGCATTGTAGCTGAAGACGTTCGTTTCCAACTTCGCCTCACACCTCTCGCTAAGCAGCGACACAGCCCGCTGCCACTGCCCGCCCTTCTCGCGCACATTGATCCCAGCGTTGTAGCTGACGACGTTCGGCACCGGCTTCGCCCACCGCACCTCGCACAACAACGCCAGAGCCCGCTGCCGTTGCTTGCCCTTCTCGCACGCGCTGTTCCCAGCGATGTAGCCGACGGCGTTGGGCTCCAGCTTCGCCCCCCACATTGCGCAGAGCAGCACCGGAGCCGCCGCCGCTGCAGGCCCTTCCCGCGCGCGCTGATCCCAGCGCCGTAGATGACTAGGGCTGACCCGTGGACTCCGCCCACGACATCTTGCCAAGAGCATTATAGGGGGGAGCGGCGGGACAGGCGCCGAAAGGCTATCCGCCCCGTCCACAGCAGCGCCCCGAGCTGCGCCGGCACGCTCCGCGGCACCTGCCGGCGCCGCCCGACGGGGACGACGACGGCGGCGGCGGCGACACGCAGAACGTTTGCGGGGAGGTAGTTCGGGCGCGCGGCGCCCCTGCGCGATGGTCACACGGTTAGCCACATAGGGTATCCTAGGGGCCGTGTGGGGGCCTCTTGGAACTTCCTCTGGGCTTCGAGGGGGCCCCTGGGGGCCCTCGTGGACTCTCGTCGGTGCAGTGTGGGCCGTCTCGGAACCGTCCTGGGCCGTTTTGAACGCGTCTTGGGCCGTCTGGGAGCCGTCTTGGACCGTCTTGGCAGCTCTTGGGGCTGCCTCGCGTGCTTTCGGGGCCGCGCTGGAGCCGTCGCGGGCCGTCTTTTTCATCTTCAACCCCAGTTGAAGGTTCAGGTTCGAGTTGCGCGGGGCCAGCAGGAACCCAGCGGCCTCGAGGGGCCCCGGGGCTCTCGGAGGCACGTCCGCAGGCACGAACTCCACTCTCGGCTGTCTGCGCACAGTGAGCCGCTGAACAAGGGCAGACGGCCTGTCTGACCACGCAGCGGACAGAGCACGGCGTCGGCGAGAAGTTGTTCTCAGCCGAGCTTCAAAACGTTGGTCTGGGGACCCCAATACTCCCAGCCTTCGAGCGTTCAACGCAGACAAAAAGGCAACGCAAATCGCAGCACGCAGCAGTAAAACATCAGACGGCGAAGAGAAGAGGAGAAGGAGAAAGCCAAACCAGCGCGGACGCCCACAGGGCACACGGGAACTCGACAAACGGAAACCCAACCATCTCTCCAGAAGTTGTTCAAGTCCAGGGCAAAAAATACTAATGATAGATATCGTCTAAATCAGCCCCAAGGTCGCATTAACACCTAAACAGACACCCATTCGCTCGCGCATGGAACCTCGAGGATGCATTGACGGAGTTGGCGAGGAGGCGGAGCGGAGCAACAGCAAGGTATAGGTCGAGGTGAGCTTCGCCACCTCCTTCAGCTGCTGGCAGAAGATGGCGATGTGCGTCGGGGAGGCAGCCGCGAACAACCTCCTCGCACGCCTACGCAGGACAGAATGGGCTCGTTCGTCATTGTCTGAGACTCTGTCTGAAGGCTTGCCCCTTCGATGTCCAGGCGGGGGCTAAAGGAGTGGCGCCATGCGAGGGCACGACGGATGCTGTTCATAAACGAGTCCTCGTTCCACCCCCTACGCCACCGATACGGAATGTGTCCTAAATCATCTCTCGCAGCCTGAAGGGTGTCGATAGAGTTTCTCACTGCCTCGGAACGAAGGGCGAAACGAGCACACGAGGCTTTCGCCATCGCGAATATGTCAACAAATTCGGCCAAGTCCTACCTCCTGCAGCTGCATCGCCAGCTCGCATGAGATCGCACGCCGCGGACCGACGGGTCAACAGCAGCACGCCCTCCTTGAAACACTGTGCGAATTCACCACTGGCGGGGTAGGAATTAAAATCTGGATTGCAACAATGAGACACACGTCAAATTCCTATGGGAAAACGTACATTTTGATCATATACTACCTGTCGGCCTTCACGGCGTTGAAGACGGTCCCAGAGCACCCCAAGACCGCCCCGAGAGGCCCCCAAGAGGCGCCCAAGTCGGCCCAAGAGGGCGCCAAGACGGCCCAAGAGGCCCCCAAGACAGCCCAAGAGGGCCCCAAGACAGCCCCAAAAGGCGCCCAAGAGGGGGAGCCCGAACCGACAATTCGAGCCTTCCGCCCCAAGACGGCCCCAGAAGGCCCCAAGAGGCCCCAAGAGGCCCCCAAGACGCCCACAAGAGGCCCCAAGAGGCCCCCAAGAGGCTACAAAACGGCTTCAAAACGGCCCCCAAGAGGCTTCGAAACTGCCTCCAAGAGTCCCGCGAGAAGCCCCCCAAGAGATCCCAGGGCCTCGAGATGACCCCAAG